ATTTCTAACTGTCTACTCCTAAACAAGTGTAGCTGAAATGGATAAAAATCTCTCACCACGTAGTTATGAAGATCTCTTCAACGTAGAGCTTTCGAGTCTGCTATGATCGTGAAAAGAATACGTTATTTGTTCTTTGCCTAAGGTATTTCATCCCTTAATTTCATCATTATACTTTGTCCATAATTTGGACTATGAATAATAAGTTTCATTTACCCCCAGTCAGAACGATGTGTGACTATTGAAAAGGATCAATCGGGCTGAGTACAGGTTTAAAACAATTTACCGATTCTGTCAGTGTTTTTGACAAGTTTAAACGTGTGCAACCTCGCCTCATGATATAATTTAAAGTGTACCGTCGACAGTAATTTGCAGGTGTTACGAATGTTTTTTCGGAGGAAGGTCCAGCTGCTTCTAATGCAGTCCGATGAATCGCACGTCGCTTGCTTAGCGTTGTTCTATTGTATTAGGTGCAACACGTGTTCCTTCGGTCTAAGTCTTATTGTGTCACTACATTGGCAAACGAGGTAATAGCGCATGGTTTCTTCTACTGAAATATATTGTTAATTTGAAATTAATTACTTCGAGAAAAGTATTATTTGCTTGCTCAAATCTCAAAACATTTGGTTCTGTATAATTTAAAATGAAAGTTATGAAAAATATGATGCCAGATTCTCTGCTATCTAAAAAGAGACAAATCGACATCACTGATATCGCAACGATTACTTTGTTAAAACTGATATTCTGTGATTGTTCGATTTAAAGTTTCTGTTTTAGTTCGAAGAACGTGACGATGACTGCTACCCCAGGTTCGAAAGGTATGTATTTTGTGTTCTTTGTGAAAGTAAGTAGTTCCACTGGGTGAATACACTGATTCCTTTGACACTGGTCATGAATGATAGGACTGAGTCAACGAGGCAAAATATTTAGGGTCGAGAAGTATTGATTATTTTTCATTAACGCTTACTTTCACGTGTCATGTGCCGATGTCGCTTCCTACTTCGTTTGTGCAACCAGCAACGATCAGAGTACTGCATTGCATCCGAGGGACTAGTGGAATGTATTCCCTCGTAACTGATGTTTCACTGTGAGAGTGTGATGAACCTCAAAGCGATGATCAAATTAAGTTACGGTAACTAGGGACTGACTGTGAGGTAAATCTGGCAAAGGAATATTCCCGAAGCATGTTCGAAATTCAATGAATTTAGGACTGGCGTCCATGTGATTTGTGTACTTTTAAAGACAGTATGATAAAAATGTGTCGCCTGCTCTCTTGGCAGGTAGCGACGTTGTTCATGATGTTCATGATCTGATTGTAATATTAAGTGCCTTTTTTTCCCACTGTAGTTGATGCCGTATTTCGTTCAGTGATTAACGTCATAATCCAGTCAGACAGATTATGACTAAGTATAAAATTTGGAACAGCTCCATTTCACCGAATTTATCGTGTTGTTTCCATCCACCTACGTGAATTACTTTGTTTGTCCATTTTCTGATGTTCCCTATCACGCAGTTCCCGAATCAGCCCTTTGACTTGCCTATTAGCCTTCAACTTATCGTTTAGAGTTTGGATAATTTATTGAAAAAGTTTCACCGTGATATTAGCGATTAATATGGTCTTTGGTCCCCGAACCCTTTCTTATATGCTGCATGAGATCCTAAGAATTTTTCTGTTTAAACTGATTTTATCACTATTTTGTTGTAAAGCAGGCTAAATGCGTGTGAAGACTGCATATGTGGTGATAACAATTGTAGATCGTATTCCAGATACCCACCCTCATGCATTATTTGCCAATAATATATTGAGGTGTATCTTTCAGAAATGATCGCTACCAAATTCAGGGGGTTTAATAGATTAATTTTAAGCAAAATAAAAAACCTGTGTTTGGTTGTAGTCTTTGTGATTATTACCTTGAGCCTTGCGCTTTTGCGGAACGTAATCTCGACATTTACTCAAGCTACCTGTGCCCGGTACAGAATAGAGTTATTGTCATGGGTTGATCTACTGTTGTGTGACCATGAAAATGACCAACTATTGTGCATTTAAGCTGCAAGATAAACAAGAAGATTGAATTGCTTGTAAATCGTATAAAAAACGGTGAGAGATTTGGACAAAATTTTACTTGAAGTGAGGTAGTTTTTGAAGATCGTTCAATCCAAGTAAAGACGTTTCCAGTGCTGGAACTGCTTTTCTCTTGGTTTATGTTTTTATTGGCCTGTTAATGTCGCTTCGTTCTAAATTGATATTATTATTGTAAAGGTATATCCAACATGACACTTAATAAATTCAATATTTATGTTGTTGTATTAAAATCTTCTATTCGTCGACTTGTTGCTACATTGCTGACCAGCATCATTATTCACATAAAAATTATCAATTCACATATGTCAAAATATTTCATTCATTACAGTATTTTACCTGTTTACATGTTTGTTGCCTTGATGCATGAGTTAAGAAGTTGTATAACCAGGATATCTCTGAGTTATGGTGTCCACTGCGTCCGCATATTTGCAGAACTTTTGCTATACGGTACGGGTTGCTGCATTGTGGAAGGAAATATTCCTCTCTGAAAGCATATCTGCATCTACCTTGTTCCTCCTGCTCACCTTCTGGTCGTCTTGTGCCGTGTTTTGACTCCCACACGAAGGGCTGTTGGACTGGAGTAAATGATGTAGACTGGAACAGTTTGTCTAAGAACGCGAACATTATTTTCATGGTCTTAATATCTATATAGGCTAACTGCGCTCAGGAGGTAATATAGTTACTCCTGACATGATCCTGCCATTTAGCCCTCGTTGTAAGATATCGTCGTTCTTGCCCTTTCTTTAGAACAGCTAACAGAAGAAAAAACAAGAGGCGTTTTCTCGGAAGAGTAACTCCTTTTTGGGCCTAAATATTGAACAAATTTCCTAAAGCACATGAAATATAGCGATCCTACTGTTTAATTTTGGTTGGATAATTGCAGTCGATCGACATAATTAAGTGGACATACTTAAGCTGGTCAGTCGCTTGAAGCGCTCCAGCTCCCTGCCTCACTTGTCGATCAACTGTCTGAATGAATTCCTCATAACTTATGATTTCCGGCGCATAGGAAGAGGCTTGCTGGCGCGGAAATCAACGTGTTAACTGAAAAACTTAAAGAATAGTCCGCAGCTATCTGCAATAATGTAAGCGCTGACATTTGAACCGATATGACATTGTCTGAAAGGCAGTTTGGATGCTGTGGGCTTGTATTGACCAAATCCTTTGGTTTCTAACGTTCTTTGACTGTTTACACGTTACATTATTTTTACCTGACAGTCTTTCAGCTGATGGAATGCCGTTGTTTGAAGACGCAGTAGGTCGTGTAAATTATTCTCTCTGTATTTAACGTTCCAAACATCAATCATAGTCATATTCCTGATCTCGCTCAAGACTGCGACGATGATATAAAAATGTTGATGGTTGATGAGGATAAGCGATGGAGCTACAATCATAATGGGTAGGGACTGTCATCCACTCGAATATTTCCTATTAAACTGGCATCTTTCATGCTTGATTGTGTGTCTTATATCAAATGATTCTTACATTTAGCTTGGTTGCTGCGATGGCTTTCTCTTGTGCTGCTGGTGGTTCAAAACGCGTTACAAGCTTTGCTCATCAGGTATTCGAAAACCAGACCTAATCGAGTTCCGTTCCTGATGACATCGATCGTATTCTTTTCTGAATCCCTTAAGTTTGTCATTTGCATTGGTTTGGTCATCCTGGAAAATGGTAGTGTATGGAGGTAAAATTTTTTCATTGATTTTTAATTTATTTTTAAATGTGTACATTTTGCATCTTACCTACTATGATAATTGTAAAACTATTGTAAAACTATAGAAATAAAAAGTTGTCCTCTAATGTTAGACAGCAGCAGAAATAAACTTGATCGCTCGATGTTCAGTTTCTTACTGCCTACTTATCATAGCATATTTACATAATCTAGTCGAATTTGCCAAGTTCTAATTTTATTAATTGCCTAAAAATGAAAAATTGTCTTAATATAATTTTTATTAGGCGTATATTCAATTTGTCATTTGTGTCAGTCTCTGGAGAAAACCAAATCCGGCGTCCAGTTATAGAACGGGACAATCATCAAATTTTGGAACTGTATGTCATGGTGAAGCATCGTAGACACAGGTGATGCATTAGCCATAGCGACACTTGCGGTGAATCTCAAAACGGCATAAAAACGAACAGTAGATACTGCAGGTGGAATTTAGTTTTTATTCTCCTTAAAGGCGGATTGGTCTGAAGCGACGCTGACTCTAAATTTAGAGCACGAACCCGGAATTACTGACGGCTAATTCTCACGAAATATTTTGAACTTTTTTTATGAACTGAACGCGTAACTTTTTGGTCGCGGTTCGCTATTTACACCGTTATTTACCTAAGATTTAACTATGCATAGAGCGAAAGTATCTAAAATTTGCTTGACATTCCATATCTCATCCGATTGATCCTCAAGGGCCGTGTTGCACGCGCTCAGGAGGGATTGATCGAGGGTTACATGAAACATCGGGAGAATAGGGCATATTTGTCTGCGGCTCTGTGGAGTAATCCCTTTTATGATTTTGCTGATATGACATTATGTTCCCTCACAAAACAACCTTCTCATAATTTTTGAAACAGTAATTTTGAACAGTTTTTAGTTTCCTTCCTTAATACGTAGCCGTTATTTGTTCCGAACGAGGTAGAGGCTGTTGCGTTTTTGAGACTGTAACTCTGAGATGACTTTTTTTTAAAAATTTCCTTCCTACAGAACAATTATATAAGCTCTGACAATTGAGATGTTGGTACAGATATGTGGTCATCTGTTCAGACGGTATATCGACCTATTGTATTTCACAGCGTTCTCGTTTAACGATCAGTGCATTCGCGTCATGTTATCGGTAGACTGATGTAAATTCGTCAAGTGATAAATCGCCTTGTAATTTTGATAACAAATAATTCCTCGGCAACCGGATTTTACGACGTATTCCACAACCCACATGATCGTAGTTTCTATGGTCATCATTTAAGCAGTCATTTTGTAATTCATTTTTTCTCGTGCTCTGAGAAAACGCGATGTCTTTTGCAACTGTCGCCACAAGCTAAGGCTCTCAGGCGAACGGTATTCATTTCAACTATATCCATCTCATTAACCAATCACATTTGCATTCGTGCGCCCTTTTGGGATATATGGGCTTAACATGATTATGGATTCAGTAGAGCGACAGACTCAGAACCGAAATATCCCCGGTCCAGACCTCCTCGCAATCACCTTTGTTTTTTCTGAGGCTGATATATGAATGCCAATCTGTACGGGGGGACGCCTGAAGCTATGCAGTATGCTTGTTACACAGCGGTTGCTAACTGTGCTTTAAAAATAAAGCATTGCTGAGTAATGTCAGAAAATGGGGCTCAGCGCCCCACCGTTAACAAGGAAGCCAGAAATGATCTCAATATGAAAGTCTGACGAAGGCAGACATTCCAAAATTACGAACTTTCTTTCATTTTACATTACTTTATATACAGATAATTAATTATGAAACTTTTGAGTTTGGCAAGTCATGTTATATTGTCATCATTACCGTTTTCCTTGTCGTTAAATTTAATGGATTTTTTAAAAGTCAGTCAGTTTCGATAAATCGTTTGCTGTCCGATGCCATAGGCAGACGCGTTAGGGAGTGTCTCCATCCTGTGTCTTAATCTGACCTTCAGCAGAAAATAACGCCAGCCTGGCGAAGAGTGTATCGGGAGACCTCGTTTCCTTCTTGGCCATCCCCGGGTCTTTGGTTGGTCAAATGTGCAAATAGTAACTTTTTCGTTTTCCTTTCTCGAAGCATTCGCAAGACCTGTCCAGGTCATCATAGGTGCAATTTCTTAATATGGAAAAGCAGCGGCGTGCACCGAAGCTGTCTTGGATATCTGTTCTCTGGACCATGTTGAGACGCATGAGCCCAGTGATTCGTCTCAGGAAGTCCATTCCAGCTGCTTGTAGCAGAATTTACGTTTTTCTGCCATTCTGCCATTTCTGTGGGCCATCCCAGTAGGCCGGTCGATTCTTTTCTCCAATTTTCCATCATCAGTCAACACGACTCCGGTGTGCTTCAACTTTACCGTCTGCTTCACTGCCTCTCCGCTAATCTGAAGAGAGCAACGGGCAGGAGAACGAGAAAGCACTAGGCTTTTCGTTTTAGATGCGTTCACACGCATGCCGCACCACTCGGCTGCGAACGTTACCAGAGAGGAAGGTAGATCAGTTTCAGAAGACGCCATTAAAACAGGATTTTGTGCATAGGCCTTTTCGTCTCAACCTGTCCTGCGGTAATGCACTCATCACCCTGACTGCGCTTGATTATTCATTCTATCCTGTACATCCCAAATAGGAGGGGGACAGAACGCAGCCCTGACGGAGACCAGTGCCAGCGCTGAATGCTTTGGGCTTAACGCCATTTACTGTGACGCAGCAACTGCTATCAGTATATTGTGATTGGATGACCCATAAGAGCTGGCCATCTATCCCGTTTGCTCGCATTCATGCCACAGACTGTTGCGCGGGATCTAGTCGTATGTTTTCTCTAGATCAAAAATCATATCCTCTGGATGTGCGAACTTTGACAACTTTTCAATCTGACGTAAAGTGAAGGCCTGGTCAGAACTGATTCGGTCTTACTTGAAACCACATATTTATTTCTCTTGTATTTTAGAGTCGCTTATTCCATGGCACGTTTTTTCCATCGCTGAACTATGTCCTCATCCTTGATAAAAGGACGTTAGAAAAATGTTTTTGAAAAAGCAAATTTCAAGATACGAATAATGCAATTCAAGAAATTCTGTGTACGCAAAGACGTTCATGAAAGTTAAAAAATGGGGAATTACTCTGACATAATGCAATCTTTTTTTGGGCCGGTTAACAGACACCATCATATATTAGTTTCTGTATGTAAGTCTGCATTTGCTGTGGTTAATGCTAACAATTCCTATTCAGGTGTCAATTTTTAGTGATTTTTTTTTTCAGAGGGTTTGGCGAAGTGTACAGAGGAACCGTGGAAAACTTAAAGGATACAACCATCGTTGCCGGATTATCCGTTCTTTATACGTTACAGAATATTTTAATCATCGTCTCTGCTTCCAATCTTAATCCTGCTGTGTTTCAGGTAAAGTCTGTTGGATATGTTTCTGTCACGACTTGTGCTGCATGCTTTGTTCTGCGGCGTCCTCTGAACATGCTCTCATGGGTTTATTTAATTGCTCAATCAGATTTTAAGGAAATTTCTGACTTTCGGGAAATAGCGAGGGAAAAATGTAAGTGTAAAAATTGACACTGATAAATCAGGAATGCAGGTGGCAGGGTTCATGATGAAATGGACTGGTTGATCAGCCGTACAGGCATAACAAGCGTGAATTCTGTTTTATCCAGTAAATCGGCCGTTATCCCTTGTACTCCTGTGTAATGCATCCGAGAAACCAAGAGCTCGGATCATGTATCCTTTCACCATTTGAACAGCTGTTACTGACACGGAGGGGACGTTTGAGCATGGCCGGCTCAGCGCAGCGTTGTTAAAGGAAAGTTTTTAACTGTTGGAGTGTGGGCCTTCCTTACACTGTCATGATGGCGTCGTTTATGGCCTCTGTTTTTATTAAGTTCTCCGTGGGACGCTGTTCTTTTTTTTTCATATCATCATCCAGCGCATTGCCTTAGTTCAGAGGTGGAGATGGCAGGTTTGTAACATGCAGAGTGTGTAGTTTTTTGTGTCCTTGCCACATAGCGGTACACATTTATTAACCTCAGAATGAATTAAAGAAGACAAATAACCCGACCGTGACTCAAACCCGAAACTTGTCGGTTCGGAGTTTATTGCTGTACCGACTGAGTAGCTCCGGATATATCGACTTATACAGCGAAATGGAGTTGTGAACTGATCAACCTGTTTTGACGTACTAACCGATATTTACAAACTCCTTAGACGTCGCTGATGAGGAACTGTTTTGAAATGTTGTAGTCGTTAAAATCGTACGTCCGTTCCCGTGTCATTCAAATGCTCAGGTGCGTGATGTGTTTAAATGGTCCCTTAGCTTTTACTGTAATTGCCCGTTTATGCGTTGACGTTTTTGACTTTTAGTGACGTGTTGTAAAAGTAGTGCAAATAACCGCCGTTTGTTCTGTATATTAGACCACGATCAGCAAGCTCCACGTCTTATGATTTCACGTTTCACGTCTCAACCCTTATTTTCTTTGTACATTGGTGGTCTGTTGCTTTGACTGCTTTCAGTAACATTTCTTTTGACAGACTTTCAAGCATAGGCCATGTCTGTAGCCGAACTGTCTTTTCATGGTTTGCTCATATTAAGATAATTAACATTGCAGGTTTCGTATCAAATCAAAATATTTACTACGGCCATATTTTTCGTCATGATTCTGAAACGGAAGCTTTCCCGTTGCCAGTGGTTCGCTCTATTTTTGTTGTTCGTTGGCATTTCCATGGTTCAGGTAAACGAGAAGCTGGACACTCATCCGTCGCCTCCGGTAAACGTCACAAGCAACCATGTGTCGGGTACTGTTGCAAAGAGCACCGATAATTACTTGTTAGGTGAGTTCGATTCAAGAAGTTGTCACTGTCGTTTTTATTGAATGGTGTAGATGTTTAAAATTTAGAAGTAAGTTTTGCTGACAGCTTATTTACAAGTGCTTGTTGTACTACTCAATTCTGTTACCTGTCTAAGTTTGTTTAAGCTTTACCCTGTATCAGCCGTCATCAGTGCTCCTACCGCCATGTCAGAACACAAGAAACTTAATAGTTTTCCGCACTACACAGTCGTCAGCATGGCGGTACCAGATGTATGAAACTTCATTTATTTCTAATATTTTGTTGTACTCGTCTTAGATGTTGTTAACTGAGGACAGTCAGATTTTAAGTCTATTTCTGTGTATTACATTAGAAATCTACCCGCTGCTCCGTCCTGCAAAAATTCGATGATCAGTGAAACGGGTTGTTAAATTCACGTGCTTGTGGTCTTGCTAGCTGGTCATGGAAAATGGGAAGAAGAAATCGACCGAGAAGTTGCAATGGCCGTAGGCGTTCTGTGTAAAGAAGCCCGAACCATTGTGATTAAAGCAGAGTCTCGGTGTTCAAGTCGATCTTTATCCCCATGCATATCTACGGTTATGAGTCGGTAACCATGGCTGAAAAGCTTCGATCCAGGGTACAAGCGGTTGAAATGGGTCACTGACTTTACGCCGCTCGGTATGATTTGAAGTGCATATATTCAGGATAACCTTGGTGAACAGCCGCTGCTTCTCCGAATTAAGAAGTCACGACTGTGACATGGTTTGGGCACATGTTGTGAATTCTTCTAGAAACTAACGCTAGTCAGCAATTATTTCGTTATTCGACCATCATAATATCTCAGGAACGACCAAGAATGACCTAGGACAAGTATCTCAGCAGGCACTCATCCAGACTCGGATTATGTTCTGCTGAAAGTCATATGCTTGAGCAGGATCGTGAACGAGACTGGAGACATTGGAGACGGTGTCTAATGCGGTTGCCTCCGTGAGAATAAGCAAACATCGAAGGAAGAATAAGAGACGAGGGATACGGATAAGCGGACATCGATACGACTGACAAGATCTTCAGACTTTGCTAGCGATAACATAATAACGTTCCAAAGGACAGATATTATCTGTTGCATTGAGCAGCAAAAGATTGGTATATTGTGCGAAAAAAATATTTGAAATATTGCATTAAATTGTGAATCTTCTCGTCTTTTTTTGCGAAGAGGGAAAGAATCTATTTTTAGCAATGCTGTGGACACTGTTATGTCTTTTTTCTTTACGTTTCTGCCTCGCTTCATTGTGGTGTCCTAAGCGATTGGCAGGACAATAAAAAAGTAGTACTGTTCCTATCGTGGTTCATTTGCTTATCCTTTCATGAAGTTACTGTGAGGTAATGCAGAAAAATGTATTGAGTACAGATATCATTTTCCAGAAATACAGACTAACCATGACTTATTAAAACACACTGCAATACAGTTGGCGTCTCAAGTTCATTTTTAGCGAAAGCCTCTTCGCTTGAAGGAAAACCACTGCTGTAAATGGCCTCAAACAGCAATTTAATTTTACCACCAAATTTTGTCGAAGATAGAAACCGAAACTTTGCACTGGACTGTCACCTAGTAGACCACTGTGATGTTTGTATTATGTGATTTTGAAATCATGGCCATATATTTTATTATGATTAGCGATACACAGACAGAACAATCCACTGATAAAACCATACACAATAATTCAGCTTCTCTTTATTCCTTCATTGCTATTGTCTTTGTATTAATAATTATTGACGATGTACATATATGCATATTAATAATATGGTATGTTATTTTATGTCGAAGGAGCTTCGTTCTGGGTTCTCAGTGATTCGCTTATTAAATCTCTTTTAGGCTTGTAACCACTTCTTTTTAATCTCTTTTAAATTTAATTTATGGCAATTTTTGAAGTTCCATTTGCACCTTCTGCTAATGCTTCAGACACCATAGCTGTATA